CTACAACGGGGGGTTTTTTTGGGTTTATAATATACGTTAACTGTGCAATTACTATTAGGAACCCGTTATTTTTACAATGAGGGAGTGAGAAGACGCCTCAAAGACAAAGAACAAATGTTGGTGTGACGTCTCGCGCCTGTGAGCCAAAAAGTGACGAGAAGGGCACACCATTGTTCCTCAATACAGTGTGCGTCGTATAAAGACGCCACTCACGATGCAATGATCTTCGGCAGATCTGGTAGGATGGCTGGGTGGTGTTGATTCCAGAGGCTGATGTAACCCTGAATCGCGTGCTTCCAGGCACTCACTGTCCATGATAGGAGTGATGCCTGTGGAGCGGCAGAGACTGATGGCGGCGGCCCGTATCTTCTTCACTTGGTCCGGCGAGATACCTTCGTAGAAACAATACTCCAAAAAGCAGGTCAGTTGAATCGACGTAGGTACGGACGTAGTGAGATTGTGTTGTGCGGCAAACGTGTTCCAGACTGTGAAAGCCGACCGATACGTACGCTGTGGTGCGAGGCCTACATTGCGTAGCTGATGCCAAACGTGTGATGAACTTATCGTCGAGTTGCGCTGATGCCGATGGGATCGTACATAAGTGCGACGTACAGTCGCGTTGGCGGTGTGTGAAGACCTAGCCGTTCGGCTACGTGTGCGGGGTAGTGGACGGTGCCTGGTTCTAGAATCTTGAAGTCGCGGCCATTCCGTAAGATCAACGATCACCAGATGTGTGGCTTTCCTCCAAACTGGAACTATGAGGTTGGCTGAAGTCGTTGCCCCCATCTGTTCCAAAAAGAAGCCCAACATTGTCTCCGGGTTTGCCATCATCTCCAGGGACTGGTCCCAGCGGTCGTGTTAGTGGTTGATGAAGTGGACTTGTGCTTGGTGGCTCTTGCCACAGTAGTAACTGTCGGAATAAGGCCGAGCTGAGGGATCTGGCAGGATTCATCTCTGGAACAACCGAAGAATCGTCTCTGCTCGAACCGCCCAGTGGTATTGTACCAGTTGCCCCATTCGCGACAAGTCGTCGACTGCAAGGTTCAACTTCCACGGCATGTACCCCAGGGTCACTGGCCAGCGGATACTGTCTAGTCGTCTTAGCATGGCATTCATCAGTGGTGATTGACTTCTGCGCTCCCTAAGGGCGTGTAGTGAAGTACTGCTGTCGGTGAGCCGGAGGAGAGGCACCGAGCCAATCGCGTAAAGTGTGTGAAAGTGCTCGTAAGCCAAGACGAGGGCTTTCAGCTTCAAGACTGCTATGGGCCATGGAGTCTCTGCATGGCACCAAATCTTCACAAATATGTAGGTCGTCTGGCGCCAGTATAGGGTCGCTCCGTAGCCGATCTTGTAAGAGTCGGACGTCAATCTGGCTTGATGAACAGGTAGCCATATTGCTCGTATGTCGAATATGGTGATTAATTTGGCCATTCGTTCTATTTTCTTGAGTGAAGCTTCGGATAGGCGAATCGTCCGTGCCCGTGTCCATTGCGTCGATCGCTGGAGGTCAGCGAGGAATGAGCGAAGACTCATTACGGAGAACTCGCCACACTGAAGACATCCGCAGTATGATTGCCATAATTGTGTCTTGATCCTGCGCTGGGTTCAAAAGGCCGTAGATGCTATTTTGGCTCCCATGTTCAATAGTTTGACTTTGAAGGCTTAGGTCATCTCGATCGTGTTCAAAACCAGGTCGATGATGACCCTTAGATGTTGTAGTCGGGTTACTGGAGTCTTCCAGTATATTTTTCCCGGGGCTAACTCCAATCCCAGTTCGTGCAAAAGGCTGTCGATGAATCATTTCTGACGCAATGATAGTCTTCGGACGTCCTAGTAGGAGGAGGTCGTCCACATACAGATGATCCTTATCCCCTTGTTCCTGGTGAGTCGCCTGAAGACATCCATCAGCACGTGAAACCAGGCAGGTGAGAATGTCGTCCCCATCGGCAGGGCGAGGAAGCACCAGAGATTGTTGTCGTGGTCCTGAAACTGCCAGAGTTTTAGGTCTGCGACAGCAAATACATAGAAGCCATCTTTTATGTTGGACGACATAGTTAAACCTCCCGGACGGGCAACGTGCATAAGCTTCTCTAGGCCCTCGGCTCTGTAAGTCCGTCTCTCCGCATGATCGTTGATATCCGTTGGAGACAGTATCAGTCTCGCTCTGAGACCGTCGAACTTTGAGATCATAAACGCAGAGTGCACTAGATGACGTTCGGTCTCCTCGCACCGTCGGATCACCCTTGCGGCTTGAAGTCTGTTGAGTTCCACCTGGCTCATCGAGTCGGTAACCTCCGGATTCAGGATCCAGCATCCTCTGTTGGATGGCTTCGGTGGTCCCTTGGAACCCCAAATCGGTCTTACTCCGTACTTGATTGCTTGTAGGACCTTCTGAGAGGCCCCGTAAGCTCTCTATATCGGGAGTGCCTTACGGACTTTGAGGTATAAAACAGTAGGTTCAGAATTAGTCTTCTTTCTTGACATTGAGCGTTCCACGGGTTAAGGCCAATTCGTGCTGCCTTTTCTTTGTCGCTCTCAGGTAGCGCGCGACAGTAGGTGTGTCGTTATAAGTTGGACGCACTTGCTGCTCAACTAGAGCGGCGAAGCTGGATCCTTTCTTAACACTGAGTTGCTTGAGTTCCAGGGTTCGTCCTAAGTCCTTAATGAGTTCCAGCAGATATGGTTGTTCTCGGTGTTGTGCTGATAAGCCACCGAGGTCGATCTGTTTGAGTGTAAAGGCCAAATGATTGACCCAAGTCAGAATGTTGATCAGTTCCTCTTGGACGACTGGCTTTTGAGGTTCGTACCACAAGGGTACTTGCACTGGCGAGCTGGTCAGTCCTTTAGGAAAACGTACCTCTTGCATCCACACTAAGTTAGCAATTTCTCTAGGTACACCGGTACTCCACTCGCCGTTGGATGCGGCAGCACAGTCCTGTACAGATGCTATGTGGTCAGCAGTTGAGACTCTGTTATGGAAGGCCGGAGTCCGTAAAGAGAGTGAGGTCCTGTTCCAGGAACGGCGTATCCTCTCTATTCAATTTCCTTAAAGATCTTTTTAGACGGTTGTCTGGTTCTGGTCGGGTCTGGTCGGTTCTGGCCGTCAACGTTCAATACGATGGTGATGTAGTTGGTAGGTGTAGGAGAGCCCACGCTTCAAGAGGATGTTGAAGGAAGTATTTCGAGTATTGAGAAATACGGGATGGTGGATCTTCGTCCCCTTATACACAACAACTTTAGAGTTGTGTATATAAAAAGACTGGAGTAGGATAGTGCTGCAGTATAAATTAGTTAGTGCTGTTTAATACGTCATAACTCCAAGAGTTATGGCGTACCACCGCCACGAGTAATTTAAGCAGCAGAACAAACTACTCCCAGTTCACAATACTATTTAAAGGAGAATCCTTCTAGAATATGAATATATATATATATAT